CTGATACTATAAAGTCCTATTTAAAGAAAAATAGAAAACCAAAGCAACTCCAAGTTTCTATTTTATGCAGGATAAGTAACAATAGCTCATGAGGCTAATGTTAGATGCAACCAATTGATGAATCTTTAATCATTAAAACCAAACTCATAGTGACCTGGAAGGGTAGAACAGAACTATTCCATGTGGTGTCCCAGGGTATATATCTTCATGGACGTAGGCTGCCACATCTTTTTCCCATAGAGCGTCAAGTAAATTAGATCTACCATTAGCCTCATGGGCTATTGTATCCTACACAAAATATGACTATGGGATTGTTTTGCTTTGTCTCTAAGTGACACTATATAGTATCATCCTTTTATATATGAAGAAAATGAGACCTTTAAGAATGATCTATTTAACAGCCACACGTGTAGCTTAAGGCACAGCTAATACTAAAACTACAGATAGCCTTTTGTTTTCTTATAGAAGTCCTTAACACAGGCTACTTCCCTTAAAGGGAAGACAGGGACAATATTGAGTATCCAGAGGAGAGAGAATGCTGAAAGATGAGAAATAGTCAATGTGCATCAGAAAGCAAGAGGTGAGAAGGGGCAAGTGTGGAATAAAGACATTGCCTATGTCATAGTTCTACCAACACACACTAATACTAATATAAGAATCAAATTTGAAAATGATTTCTATTATGTTGTTGTTCAGTGCCATTGAGTCGTAGATAACTCACAGCGACCCTATGAACCAAAGACCTGAACACTTGTATAACTTTCATCGTTCTCCAAGTTCATAGAGTTTCCAGAGGCAAGCTATTTTACAAGTGGCTGCCACTCCTGCTTCCAAGCTTGTTTTAATCAGGGAGCTCCACCAAACACTGTCCACCTGAGTAACCATTCTCTCATTTGACACATCAGTGTCACAGTTTTTAGCATCACAGTAACCATGAGTTACCTCTGTACAGCAAATAGACCAGTGCTATACCACTTAGAAGAATGTTTGACCCAAAACAATTAAAACCAGGCCTGAGGGCCACAGATTAAAATCACCCACATTCACCAATTTTGCTTATTTTGGTTATTTTAGTTATGTGAAAGTGAGACATTGAGACAGTTTGTGGGAGATTGGGCAGACATTTCTCATTTTCACATACTTTTCTCACTTCAGTCTGTAACTGTGTCTGATAAACCTATTATGACTGAGATTAAGCAATTCTATAAATCAAAACTAAAGAAGATAACAAATGCAAGAGGGAAAAAAGTGCACTGTCTTCAAAAGAAACGATGGAACACGTGAAGTGAGCAAACAAATCGTAATGAAGCAGTGTTATCAATATATTTTGTACATTCCATAATAAGCATTGCGTTCTTATTTTCCTTCTTTTAACTGTTTAACTTTGCAAAGAGTTGGATCAAGTTTAAGTAACTGTGCTGCCTGTTTTCACATCTAGAACCACTGACAAGTGAAGGCATTGTCTGCTGATCCTATCAGCCTGCATGGCTGGCTGGAAAGGAAAAGAACTTCCATATTGACAAAAGAAGGAGTTGAGTGCAAGGGCAGTGCATACAGAGCCCAAAAGCAGCTAATTGGAGTAACATTTAAAAAAATTATTTTAATTACTGGAATGCACATTTTTAACATGCAAATAACAAGTATTAAAACTTGGGGGGGGGACCCATTTTGTCAGAGCACAGTAGAAATCAAAACCAAACAAACCAATTGTTGTCAACTCATGGTGACATTTTAAGGACAGAGTAAAACTATCTCTTTAAAATTTTCACTGTCACCTAGTCAGAACTAACTCATAACTGACCCTCCAGTGGGTTCTTTAAGACTGCAATTCACAAGAAGAGATTGTACGTCTTTTTCTCAAGAAGGCCCTGGTGGGTTTGAACTTCTAAGCTTTGGATCAGCAGCTAAGTTCTTTAACCACCATTGTACAAGGACTCTTTTGGAGGAGAGATTAGAATTGATATTGTAAATATTTCAAATAATACACGTTTAGGAAAATATGTTAAAGAAGTAATCTGCTTCTCTTTGTTGATCAGTTTTCAAATTCATAATAGGGTCTGAATTTATTCAAACTACCAGAGAAAATATTCTCAAACTTACAGAGAAATAGACTAGTTTTCACTAATACAAAAATCTTTTTTCATAATTTCATTGTAATAATATACACTTTTTCCATTGGGAAAAGTTTAAATAATAAAATGTTTCATTATTTTATATGACCTAAGAATTTAATATGTGTTGTTCATTAGCTAATATAAAACTTACTTCATTTCACATTAGCCTTAGCTAAGTGATTCTTAGCAGAATTTTAGAGCAAAAGGTTTTATGTGAGCAAATCCTTAAATTAAATATTTGTCTAGACATTCTTTTAAAAAAACATTGGCTGGCTGCTTCCTTTGTGACAGTCAGTTTTCTTTTTAGCTGCAGTGCATTTCCATGCGCCACGCCTGTTCATGAATGAACATAATGATTACAGCAGTGTGGCCACTGACTGACACAGTGACTACCCCAGTGGTCGTGGGTCTGGCAGAAATAGTGGTTGTGCACGATAAGGCAAAGATCAGTCCTGATTGGCACAGTGACTATAAATACCGTGGGGCCTGATGTGACGGAGAGCAGGATAATGCAGCAGGATAGGGCCAGGGTCCCATCTGTTCTTCACGGAGTCGGTGGGGGTCATTGTCAATGTGACAGCACTTAAACACAACACTTCTGTTCTAACTCTTTACTTTCCAAGAGTTTAAGACTTATGGCATAGATTCTGACCAAGTAAGAACACATTCCTGTTAAAAAAGAGAAGATAATGCTCTGATGCACTTCACTGAAAATATTGCACTTTACAAGTGCAAATCAAGCAGTCCAATTATAAACCATACCCTAATACACAAATGTAGGACTTCCTCAACACTTGAACCAACAAAAGCCCTTTATGTTGATCATGTTGGGAGGGAGATCTTACTAACCCTGAAAAAGTGAAAATTAATATTATTAATTATAGCTAATTTCTTGTTACTTAGTTTACATAACAATATTTTTAAAAATTTTGAATACATTAGTAAATCCATTTTTATCTACTGTTTATATACATTCAGAAATTGTATCAGAAGGGTATTCTTAAAGTAAAACTAAAGATTTACAAGTTTCTTTAAAACTACATATAAAATTATATTCTGTAACACAGAGAGCTGTTTCTTAGAAGTAGCCTGTCTGGGTGCCACTGATGTGTTTATGAAAGGAAGGGTGTTGGTCAACCAGAGGTGGAAGTGTGTTATTTTTTTTTTTTCAATTACTTTGAAGTTCAATAAAGCTGTGGAGCAGATGGCCCCCTGTGAAGATTTTCTTTGTGGAAGCATTAGATATACTAATTATATCATCTGTTTTTATAGGAAATACCTATGAACTTTGTGGATCCCAAAGAAATTGACATTCCTCGGCATGGAACTAAAAACCGCTATAAGACTATTTTGCCAAGTAAGTTTGTTAAATTGGATTGTCAACATGAAACTTCTCTTAATTTACCACTGCTTTATCACATCCTATCCTCATGTCACTGATATGCATATAAGATTTGAAGTTACATGTCAAAAATAATATTAATGTAGTCTGAAGTTAGTAACTTTAACATATAGTACTCATGTTACAATGTTAGGCTCACAATTCTAACAGACAAGTGTTTATTGTACATCACATAAAGTCTCAATTGGTTTTCTACAAGAGTCTCAAACAGTTCAAAGAGGAAATAGTGGGGGTTTCCAATAGTGCTAGGGTAACTGGATATTCATAAACAAAATGCTAACTCATACCATATTTTAAAAAATATTTCTAAAAGGATAAAAGACATATGTATAAGACTTACAACTATAAAACTCCATAAGAATAAAAAAACCCACAGTTTTTGCTTTGCTTTGTTGTTTTTTTGGGTTGTGTTTTTGTGTGTGTGTGGTCATGTCCCACAAATGTTTTCACAGAAATGTATATAGCAGAATTGTTTATAGCAGGTGGGCACAACTCAACTGCTCAATGGATAACTAAAATGTGACATAAAGTGAAATATAATGTGGCCATAAAAAGGAATTAAAGTACTAATGCATGCTCTAATGTGTAAACCTTGAATACACGCTAATTGAAAGAAATCAGTCATAGAAGATGACATTTTATGATTCTGTTTATATGGGATGCCCAAATATGCAAATCTAAAGACTGAAAATAGACTAGAGGCTATCTAAGCTTAATAGAAACCAAGGTATGACTGCTAAAAAGAGGGTTATGGAAATTCTTTTTAACTCACTCATTCATTGCTATCAAGTCGGAACCAACTCATAACTGACACTCCAGTGGGTTTTCAGAGGCTATAGAAGGAGATTACCCAACTTTCTTTTTAGGATGATGAAAGTATTGTCAAATCAATTGTGGTAACAGTTGTACAGTTCTATGAATATACCATTGAATGGTAACATTTTAAATGGATGAATTGTGTGATATGTAAACTACATCTCAGTATAGCTGTTAACAAAATGAGTTTCTTTATAGACAACAACCTTTAAAATTCTTTTATAAAAGCATTCAGAGTAGTGTACCCTCTGAGTCCTGACTATAGCTCTTGTTTATGCTCTTAGCAAACTCCACTTTTAACTGATGCAGAATGTATCAGAATACATTTTTAGAGACACAACCATAGACTGACTATAATGATGTCAGCCAATAAAGTGAATGTCAATGTCCAGTTATGAACAGTCTGCAAAATCAAACTCATTGATTAGACAGGTGAAACATGTGAGCAAGTGTTATGTTCATTGTTTTAAGAGTCACAAAAGAGACAAGGCCCAAATGGTATAATAGACAGCATAGAGAAGAGTGAAGAACTAATTCAATTTAGAGCAGGCACAAAGGCCTTTGAAAAGATGTGATACTTTAAATTACTAAATAATAAAGTTGGGATTTGGAAAAGTCCATCAATATCTCCATGCAATTGCTTGAAAAGATGACATCATGAGGGCTTTGATAAAATATTGGCATTGACATGGTGGAATCTTCATGACAGAATCCATTCATTCATTCATAAGGCACAGAAAGCTCCATATATTTTTGTATCACAATATCTTAAAATGTTGTTGTTGTTGTTGATTGCTGTCAAGTTGAGCACAACTCGTAGAGACCCTATGAACAAAAGACCTGATGCCTGTCATCATTTCTCAAGGTTCATAGAGTTTCCAGAGGCATGCTATTTAGGAAGTGGATGCCACTCCTGCTTTCAAACCTTAAAATAGACTCATTAAATATTTAACTGTTAATGGTGTCCACTGGAAAGCACATGATCTTAGTACTTTCCTTTCTGGTAAAGTTAGAAATAGATTTTTTTTTTTTTAGATCTTCACAGCTATATTTTTTCTTGAATGAAGGTGATAAATATTTACAAAGCATAATCAGGAGATGAATTGCACTGGGAAAGTCAGCTGTGAGGGACCTCTCAAGAGTACTGAACTGCAACGACATCAGGCTGGAGACTAAGGTGCGCCTGATCCAGGCTATAGTCTTCGCAATTGTGTGCTATGCATCGGAGAGTTGGACAGTAAATATGGATGATAGAAAGAAAATTGATGCCTTTGAGTTGTGGTGCTGGAGAAGAGTGTTGAATATACCATGGACTGCTAGAAGAACAAACAGGTTTGTCTGGAGAAGGTGAAGCCAGAATGTTCCCTGGAGTCAAGGATTCTGAAGCTTTGTCTGACATACTTTGGGCATGTTGCAAGGAGGGACTGGTCCTTGGAGAGGGACATCATGTTTGGGAGAGTGGAGGGACTTCGCAGGAGAGGAAGACCCTTGATGAGGTGGATTGGTTCTGTGAGTGGAGTGGTGGGAATGAATTTGTATGAGACAGAGAGATTGGCACAGGATAGAATGGCGTTTAGGGCTCTTGTACATAGGGTCACTATGAGTCGCAAACGACTCGATGGCACATAACAACAACAACAATAGAAACAGCAGGAGATCAGATGATCTGAGGTACCATTGCACTTTGGTTTGGGAAAACAGCTAAAAATTACTTGAAATTTGGAACAATATAACTTTCAGATAGCATCAAAATAACTGGAGAAATAAAGCAAAAACTTCTCATACAGTCTTGAGAATTAGAGATAGACCATTTGTAAAGTTGCGTTGTTGCTGTTGTTGTTGTTGTGTGCCATCGAGTCAGAACTGACCCATACCTGATCCAGTTTCAGAGGCAGTTAATCACCTCCTAAGAGGAGAAATTGCTCATCTTTCTCCAACGGAGTTGGTGGTGGATTCCAACAGTGAGCCTTCAGGATTACAGCGCACTAGGCCACCAGGGCTCATACATTTTAAACTACTAAACATAGTTAAGTCTCTGTAAATATAGCACTATCTAGTGGCATAGTCCACTGAGAATTACACTGCTAACCCAGGGTCATGCCTTGCTGGGGTGATTCCATTCCACTAGCAGCTCCTCCCAAGGGAGATTGGCACTTTGCTCATGTTTCCTTTACAACACTGGAAACCTGTTGGAAGGTCAACTATGAGTCAGTCCCAATTTGACCACAGTGAGTTGAGTTCAAGGAATAGTCAGAGTCCCTGAGTATGGTTAACACACTTAGCTGCTAACAAAAGATTGGAGGTTCAAATTCACCCAGAGGTCCATCAGAAGAAAACTCTGACATCTACTTTCAAAACAGCAGCAGTTGAAAACTCTGTGGTTCAATAGTTCTATTGACCTCATAAGTTAGAATCTACTCAGTAGTAGCTATTATTAAAGTATGTTGTTATGTACCATTGAGTCAGAACTGACACTTCAGCAGGGTTTTAGAGGCAGTAAATTGCACGGGAGATTGCCTATCTCTCTCCCGTGGAGCAGCTGGTGGATTCAAACCAATCTTTCATGTGGCAGCACAACTCCTGACCTCTAAACCACCAGAGTTTTAAGGTATACATTCTATTAAATGATATCTCATGGCTCAAATGGACTTGGATGCAACTGCTGACTAGAACTGGTATTCTCCTTCTCAATTGTTATAAAATGAAAATATCTCAAATGTAAATAAGCAGGAGATATAGATATAGGAATAGAGACACACACACTCACACACACAGAGAGCGAGAGAGAGAGAGAGAAAGATACTCATGCCAATTATTATGTCTACATAATTATTAAGATTATTTTAAAAGTTCACTCTTCTCTATTTCCTGGATAAATGATATCAGACTGCAGCTATAGTCCTGTGTCAGCTTTTCCATTCCCAGAACTGGGTGGATCGCCTGAACCAGGACACCTGTGCTGACAGCTGATGTTGTAAATGATGGATTTTCTGTTGAAAATATCTCTAGCCTGAAGACTCCACCCACCCTTTGTTGTGCAAATAGTTATAGTTTAGGAAATGCAGTTTACAGAAGCCACACCATTGGTTGAGAAGTCATCAGACAAGGCTGAAGTGAAAATGTTAAATTGTTCTTTATGACTTGTTTCATTCAGACTGTCATAATGATAACTTTTCAATGTAAAATAATGATTAGCATATGATAAAAATTGTACTATTAATTTTTTTACCTATAATCAAATCCCTTTCCATTTAAAAGCTTGCTGTCTCATATGTGATTGCAAGGTTTTAAGGATACTTTTATGGATGGCCAGTAATGAATTAAATTATAGCTGTTTCACTGAGGTAAAGGTCAGATTGGCTCAGAATAAGCTAAATGGTCGATTAAAGTGCTATACTACATTTCATATCAAATTACTTTGTAATAAATAAACACTATGATAAATGTATATTGAAGCTACAAATCACAAAAGCATTGCAGAAAATTTTCCATTTCAATATGAAATTATTTTCACAACTATAATAATAAAGATACATTTGGTATATATTTCTTCCATG